CAGATTCGTTTTCCGGCAAAATGCGTCTGTCTGCGGGAACCTCTAAAAATGAAAGTGAAAGTAGGGGAATTTCAGAATTCTCACTGGCGGTATAATACACAAAATAATTCGGCTGATCTTCTTGATAAATTACATTTTCAAAGCTTTTTTGGTAGGAAAGATACTCCTTATCAACAAGTGTAAGGCTCAGTTAAGTACACCTGCCCAATTTTTTTTTATGCAAGTCTGCAATTTAAGGAACTTGTAATTTTTTCTGCACTACTTTCTTCTCCTACCGATTCTAAAAATAATTAGTGGGATGTACCCAGTTTGTCCACGATTTGCAGTGGTAATCGTTTTTGATTTTGTCAAAAAGCCATAGATTGCCTTTCGAAATCGTACACGTTGGACCTTGGTCCCATGTGCATCAATTTTCACAGCCTTAGTTGGTCCATTACTTACTTTATGAAAAAACACATTGGCACCAGTGATTTGCGACAATTTGGATTTTGCATATGCGACGGCATAATGCATTATGTTCAAAGACTCAGCCGAGAAAGTGAAAGATTCAAAGGACTGAAACTCTAAAATTTCTTCTTTATCAAAATATTCCACAGATAAAGAACGAGCAACTTTCATGTATTCAACCAGGCAATTAGTAACTATTTCTTCCTTATTTTTTATTAGCCATTTCAGAGATCCTGTAGGCAAGTCTTTGATTTTGGATATATTGTGCACAAAATCCCTTACATTTCTTAAACAGTTGAGTAGAATATGGGCCTCGGATGATGTCTTCAGCATTTCGCTATTCAAAAATAATTCCTTTAGAAACATAATGGAAAGCAGATATCTGAGGGAACGTTGGGTAAAATTTGTTCCTTAAAATAATCGTACAAAACTTGGGCTACATGGTTTATGATAAATTTGTATTGTTTCAGAAAGCAAGTTAGGGATCTATTCAAATTAACGACCAGTTCATCATCTGTCAGTCTAACAAATTTGATCCTACCGTTTGCTAACTTGATCACGTAAAAACGATCGCTTTTAAATTTTTCATTTCTTACATCAAAGGCGTGAGCTCGCATGGCTATGGTATTTTTGTTATCATCCTTGCTTTTTAATCTCAGAAATGCATAGCAATCTTTGAATATAACAATTCCATTCTCGAATAAATCAATCCATTCTAAAGAGATGGATCTTGGAAATTGTTATTCAACTTGTTTTCATAAATATTGTATCCTATGAAAATTAATTCTTCGTTCTTCCTCTGTCAGTAACCATCGTCGTTCAAGAGACGTATTAATTTCTTCAAAAGAGGTGATTTTCCCCCGTTTTTTCTTCATCTTACAGAGAATATCTGCCACAATCCATGGAAAACTTTAAAATTTTGGATTTGGCATATTGCATGTAGCAGTGTACCATGCGGAAACCTTCATATTGACAACTTTCTCAAATTCAAGGGCATATTTGCTTTTCTCTCCTCCAAATTCTCCAAAGAAAATCTTTCTTGTCTTTTGCATTAGCAATGAAACTTTCTCACGAACTATTTTTCCAATCTGAAATTCTTCATTTTTTAAGCAACCTGTTTTCCGTTTTATTGCTTTTATCAAACCAGTGACTGCTTCAAATTCGCTTTCCAATCCATACATAATCATTATCTTCTGTAACTTTTCATTGTAAATTGTTCTTTGCAAAATTGCATCTTCACGTACTCTATCAGTTTGAGGGATAGTTAAATCGGCATCAGTTTATTATTGATTTGGGCTACATGGTTTATTATTAATTTGTATTGTTTCAGAAAGCAAGTTAGGGATCTAATCAAATTAACGATCAGTTCATCAGCTGACTGTCTAACAGAATCGAGCCTACCATTTGCTAACTTGATCAGGTAAAAACAATCACTTTTAAATTTTTCATTTCTTACATCAGAGGCAAGAGCTCGCATTGCTAAAGCATTTTGTTTATATTCCTTGCTTTTCACTATGAGAACGGCATTGAAATCTCTGGGTGTAACAACTCCATTCTCGAATAAATCAATCCATTCTAAAAAGGTGGATTTTTGAAATTTTTGTTCAACTTGTTTTCGTAAATATTGTATCCTACGAAAAATAATTCTTCGTTCTTCCTCTGTCAGTTTCCATCGTCGTTGTAGAGATAGATTAACTTCCTCAATAGCGGTGATTTGTCCCCGTTTTTTCGTCATCTTACATAGAATATCTCCCACAATCCAAGGAAAACGTAAGAATTTTGGATTTGACATTTTGTATGTAGCTGTGTACCTCGCAGAAGCCTTCATATTGACAACTGTCTGCAATGCAAGGTCATTTTTGTTTTTCTCTCCTCCAAATTCTCCAAAGAAAATCTTTCTTGTCTTTTGCATTAGCAATGAAACTTTCTCACGAACTATTTTTCCAATCTGAAATTCTTCGTTTTTTAAGCAACCTCTTTTCCGTTTTATTGCTTATATCAAACCAGTGACTGCTTCAAATTCGTTTTCCAATCCATACATGCTCATTATATCCTGCAACTCTTCATTGTAAATTGTTCTTTGAAAAATTGCCTCTTCAAGTACTCTATTCGTTAAAGGGATAGTTAAATCATCATCAATTAGAAACTCGGGAGTTTCTTCTGTATCGTTGTTATCGAGAAATAATCGACACTGATTGAAAAGTTTTCCTATAACTTTAAAGGAGAAATAATGAATTTTATCTTTTTCCCCCATGAAATCTGGATAATCCTGGGGGCGTTTATCTATGCGTATAAGTGGGCATATCCCAGTTTTTGGAAAATCAACAGCTTCAGAATGGATTTTAGCTAATTAATCTAGACAGCGAGAAGAAAAATTGCCTTCTGGTTCACTATCTGCCAAAGCAAGATGAGCATTAGCTATGATTTCTAAATTGTCATTTTTATGTAATTCGGCCAAGAAATCAGCAATATCTGACAACTGAACGTCTCTCTCCAATTTCGTCTTTTTTGCTTTAGGAAAGTCCATTGGATCTACATTCTCAAATGCGTAAAGCCGCTCGTCCCAGCATACGAAATATTCGTCACCATCCAGATCTGATCCAGACATTTCGTCAGAATGAGGTCTCGACTCAAGCTGAAGGAAAACAATGCAATCTACCATATGCGTAAGATAGGGATTATCTACTGCTTCAAATATCCTGATATCCCCAGGATGAAAACAGGGGTTTTTCGCCACAACAACTTAACCTAGAACAATTCGAAGATCTTTTTGTGGATGACTATATATAGCTAGGTTCTTTTGAGTACTGAACGAATACTTGTCCATAATGCAATGTCTGGGTTTCATCTGATGTACCCATCATATACCGACCCAAAGGTATCTGAATCCTTGATCTCCTTTTTAAATCAATCAATTTCTGTTGGAAAATGCTCAGAAGCAAAGACCTTACGAAAGGTTCCCGAACAAAGCTTAAACTTTGTCAAACAGTTACTGAAAATTCATATCCAAAGTTATCTGCAAAAAACAAAAAACAAAAAAAAACCAAAAAAAAAAAAAAAAAAAAAAAAAAAAAAAAAACCAAAAAAAAAAAAAAAAAAAAAAAACCAAAAAAAAAAAAAAAAGAAAACCAATCTCATGATAATACATCTATATTTCTAATACTATGAATAGTTTGTCTATTCATTTATCTTTATACATGTACTTTAAAAACACATAAAATAAATAAAGGTTTTTGGATACAGATTAATTAAGTATTATCTCAAATCTTAGGTATAACATGATTTATGTTTCCGACGCATTTCACATATAATTATAATAAGAAATTTAATTTGGAAATTATTGAACATAAGAATTTCTGGACGCGTAGATCGACATATCTTTGCACTTTCACATGTAAACGTTATCCTTAATATTTAAAAAAGTACAGATTTTGTTGTGTTGTACATAGGCAATTTAGCCACATATGATCCACATATACATTGCCTTTCTTATGAAGATCATATGTGGATCATATGAGAATCCTATGTTTATACAATCATATGAGAATCATATGTGGCTAATCATATGATTCTCATATGATTACACATATGTATATCATATTATTGTATATATATATATATATATATCTGATTCTAATATGAAAGACCCTGCATATGAGAATCATATGTATATTTTGACCTTAGTCATATGAGAATCATATGATAATCATATGAAACCAAATTCACTAATATGCCCTTGTAATACTCAGGTAAAATCCTATGAATATTTTGACAGTGATCATATGAGAATCATATGAAACAGTGATCATATGAGAATTATATTAAACAGAGTTCACTAAATTGCCCTTGGTATATGCAATTAAAATTGCAATTTTCGTAATATATATCAATAATGATTTAAATGTACATTAATTCAAAAGAATTTGTTTGCAATTACTTGTGTAAAGTTTTACTCTGTTTAACACCCCCTCCCTTATAAAAAAACTTTCAAGATTTTTTTCTATAATAATGCATTTCCCATACAAAATTGATAAATTGTAAATTAATTTGCCTTTTAATTCAAATCTTTAGGTTTGGTTTATTACTTGAGTAAAATCAAAATAATTCCGGTTTTTTTTCCGGACCGGTTTTGACTTTTATCGGATGAAAGTGTACGTCATGTTTGACGTCACTACTGCAGCAGAAGTGTTGGGTGTTGGAAAAAAGTAAGTTATCTCCTAACATTTTTATAAAGACCTTTAGGCTAATTCATATTGTTTAAATATCCTTTGATTACGGTTACAGGTTCGTATGAACTTATTTCTATAATACTCTCATCACTTGTAATTGTTAAATTAAAGCATTTCGCAAACCTACATAATATTAGGGATCTGTAAGTATCGTATTAAAGTAATTCTGGATGAATATGTTTCTGAATGTATGTAAACATTACAATTTACATGTTAGGTTAAAGGCTTTACTTTGTTTGTTTTTTGTTTTTGTTTTTTGTTTTTACTTTTGTTACGTACTGATTTGAAAGTGAAAGTAGAAATCCTATATAGCAGTTGGCGTTGTTGTATGTTGAGATCGTTATCAAGTCGATTCTTTCATCAACTTAATGACAGATGTTTGTTTTTATGGCCTATAGATGCATTCAACAACTTGAGTTCAGTGTCAAAGTGTTGCTTTTTTATGAAGTCCAAGAAGCCCAAATCTGATAATACTGGCGATTGATCCTAACTGCCTAATGCTGATTCTGACAGACGATTGCATCATCACAATATTAAAGGTAAAAATATTACAATAAAAAATCAAAGTGTACATCTGTAATGACTCCTTTATGACAAAATATTTCTTGATATTTTTTTTTGTTCCTTTATAATTCTACATTGTTTGCACGGCTTCATCAAAAATAAATTCAACTCAATAATATAGAAGTTTTATTCTACATTATGAAACAATTTTAATCCAATGCACTTTTATAAATATTGTAAGTATGAATTGAATTTTCTTTCTTTAAAACCTACGAAACTATACAATAACTTCAGGGGGTAAATTAAATTTTTGAATTTCAGCAAAAAATATATAACAGTGTCAATTTTTAAGGTACATATATGTGCATGTAACTATATGTTAAAAGTACATCAGACAGCTAATCCATTAAATATTTACGTCTATGTATTCATTGACTGACATTTATAAAAAAAAAATTCCAACACTATAGAGAACTTAGTTTCAGGCAAAATGTAAGATATTTAAGAATAGAGAGAACCTACAAACTTGTACTCTCTCTTTTTTTTTTTGTAGTTTAAGTTTTAGTTATGCTTAGAAAATATCTACTGTGTGAATATTTGTTTTACAGGTTCAATATACAGTCAGCCTCTCATAAGAAAAAGTCCAAAGATCCAAGGCTTGCTTCAAAGTTAAGGTAACTATACACTGTTTAATATACTTTGTTATATTCTTCCCACAAAGTCTGGGATATCCTGGAATCATGGAGTCTGTTTTTTCTGCCTATCTACTTGTCTGTAGTTTTTTTGTCCAAAAGTAATATATTTGTGTCAGAATCTTCTTAATTTTTGGGAATTTCAATTAATATATACTATTTGAACATTCCAAATTTAATTGTCAAAATAAAAAAAAAAATGCTTTTGTTGACTTTATCATGTAACATATCTTCCAACAGTGTAATTGTCTTGCAAATTATATCATAGGATTCCACAAAACACCTAGTGTAACATATACATGTATAACATTAGTTTTATCTCTTGTCATATCTGTGTCGATGAATTGGGAATACATTTGTTTGCTGATGATAAGTTACTGTAATATAACTTGTAGAATTGATTTTGTAATTTTGTCATTTTAATTTTATTTTTAAAATTTTTGTAGAGACCATTCTGTGCCACAAAGAAATTGTTCAGGAAGGGGAGAACTGGTGGATTTGCATTTTTTGTACAGTTCAAAGAGATTTTCAAAATGGTTATGGAAGATCAGAGGGAGGACAACTGAAAACATTGAAAGATACAGAAGGAAAAAGAACAAGGAAACATATGGAATTATTATGAAATGGAGAGGATGTACACAATCTTGTCTGAATTTGACCTGTAAAGATTTCCCATTTGATGCTGGAATATCAAATAATTTGATTTGATGCTGGAATATCAAATAATTTGATTTTTCATAAATTTACAGTAGAGAATACATGACAAATGTTATTGCTGATGTTTCAATTTTGCTGTGGACACTTTCATATCACTTTTAGTATTTTTATACAAGTACATGACCTAATCATGTTATTCATTTGTACATGTATACATGTTTAACTACTTAATCATTTTGCTGAAATCTTATAATTTGTACTCATTTTAGAATTATGTTAAATACATGTATCGACAAATGCTACTGACTTGTTTGTATATTTTCTTGTTAAGAATGTATACTGTGACAAATAAGTTATTTTCTTGATGAAAATAATTTTATCAAAAAAGTTGTGTAAGCATTATAAGATATTTAAAATATTTAACCAAGGAAGAAAGATAATCATAATGTAATGAATTTTTATCTAAAGCAGAAATACCTGATTTTTAAATGTGTACAAGAATGTGAAAAATATTGAAAGAGAACACACATATCTGTTTCATATTATTTACATATGATACCCTTTTCATATGATTCACATATGTAAATGGCTTGACAAACACATAAACCATTCATATGCAAATCATATGAAATTATTTTCATATGATTCACATATGTGGATCATATGTAAATCATATGATTTGCTTCATATGATTAACATATGATGCCCTTTATTATGATTCTGATATGAAAGCAACCATATGAGAATCATATGATACTCATATGTGGATCATATGAGGCTAAGTTGCCTGTTTAATGAAAGATATTAAACTATAATCCAGAAAAAAATAAGAGATATGAATGTGAGAAAGTAAAACCAACTCATAAGTATTGCCAGACCATTGATGTGTGCAGAGATTTACAAATTGAACACAACCGTGACACGTAAAATGTTTTGTAAATAGGACACGAGCTCTGTTATTGTTAATCTGTTTTAACGGATGAAAGTATTTAGGATAGAATTTGCTTTATGAAGTGCAAGAAATCCGTACATGTAGTATCGATCGTAAATTCCAAATAAAGGAAGTTTTTGTTATATTTTCGTGTGATATTATACAAACAACTCGAGAATACATTAACTTCAAATCAGCTTATCATACCTATGTATTCTCTCATACAAATCAGTCGCAATCAATCACCTCAAAAACCTCACGAAAAACTTTACAATGGTATTCATACGAGGGGTTAGCAAAAAGTTCGTGAACTAGCGTCATTAAATTAAAACCCCTTTCGGTACATCAATAAAATTTTAAATATTAAATGAGCATCCTCTCTTCTATCTAAACAATAAACAATGAATTAGAAATTTTATTTTATTTAATGAATTAGAAACGTTTTGGTAAGCAATGGTATGCCCAGGCGGCGCAACCTCGAACATGACGTTTTTTATCGACCTTAGTATTACTGAAAAAAAAACTCTTTTGTTTTGAACAAATGACATCTAAAAATCCCAAGAACTGTTTTTTGATTTGACACTAGTGTTCCATAAAATATGCAATCTTTACTTACTTCATTTTATAAGTTCTAGATAGATTTATCGTACATTTTGTATGGAAAGTCCAAAGAATTAAGGGCTTGAAAATGACGTTAGAAGGGTTTTTTTGCTACAATCTCTAAAGCTTTTCCCTGAAAAAAATGGTTTAGACCTAGAAAATGTTTAAAATGTTTACTTGTACAGAGAAATAAAATCAATGCATCCAGAGCTCTTGTTTTAATGCCAAAATAGACAGAAAAGGGGTTCACAGTAAATATCGATTTGTAGTCAAAGAGAGAAAAGTCATTCAGATCAAAAAATTAAGTTGATAATGTGTTGAAGATATTGAACTCCAAAAAGTAAAACATATTGGCATGAACAAGCAAGGATTTTCCCATTATATAAATTCATTTTACAATATCACATGCATTGAAAGCAGATGGTCGATAGGGATTTAACCGTTTAAGTCCTTACTCAACTCCAATCTCATCAAAATAAGCGTATGAGGTAGAAAAATCGGACAATGAAAAACAATGACGTTGTCGAACTTCATGAAACTAAATGGCGACAGTGGCAGGTGATCATATGATGTCGTTCTCATTTTATAATAATTGTATCGCATCAGTCAACTTTTTGATAACCCCCTCGTACTTAATTTATTTAGAAAAAATTAAATTGTCACCTGCTGTAAATTTTGAAGGGCTTTCGTGTTATAAGGAAGCATATCAGACAATTCAATTCAGCTGGTTGTCAAGGGGGTGTGTCCCCATACCAAACCAAGTTATTGAGAAATAATTTGCGTTCCTTTTTGGAAGTCAACAAATGAGAGACTAGAATACAAACAAAATTAAATTATTCCTAAAGATATGCTAACATACACTTTCAACTTTTAAAACGACTATGAGACACCGTGGAGCTCCAAATTCAAGCCCCTCTAAAGGGCTTGAGTAACAAAAACCTTGCTTTCTGAACTTCTTTTACATTTGTTTTCCAGCCAAATCATCTCTTAGTATATGACTGGGACGGTCTTTTAGATGTACTTACTGATACAATTTCCCCCTCTTTCTCACGGAAGCGTTATTACATGTATGAGCTATAAGAAAATAACAAATGGTATTCAAGTTCAAAAACCTTTTCGAACAATACAATTCAGGAGCAGAGTAGAGCAAACACAAATTCTAAAAAAAAAAGATCATAGGTGGGATCAGGTGCCACAAAGAGTGAGCATCCTCCGCTGTGTTCTCCTCGATATGATCGGGAAAATCCGTCGACAATTCGGTATGTACATAATTATTTGGTCTTACAATATGAAAAAAGTCTATTTATAGCATTTGACGTAATGATAGAATGTGCATGTATTTACTGACAAAGTCAACTCATTGTTTCGAACGTAGCACTTACGAAATGGAAGACTTAAAATACCGTGTTAGTACTATCTAAATCCTTGTTTCATCAATTTGTTGATTAATAGCTTGTCTCGTTTTAAAATTTGATCGTTCATAGAGCAGATGATCAGGCTATAATGCTTCATATGTCAGGAGAGTTGACGATAGAAATTGAACTTTTTAGTTGAAGTCAACAGGTTAGAGTTTCGAATTCACTGGAATATATCAAATCGACATATGCATGGATGTAACTGTAGTTAATGAAAATTTACATTTCTATTTTTTTTCTGTGATAATTTTTTGAAGTTTTCACGTGTAGTTGAGTTGATTTCTTGATATTACACTTGAATGTAAGGTTTGCCCATTATGCAATGAAATTAGTTCACATTTTCAACTATCGTTGATGCCCTGGCATATACTCAGTGCCTAACAAACTAGACAGTAATTCCTAAATAATGCGTCGTCGATATACGAAGGGTGTTCAATAAATATTGTCATGAGTTCGATGACATACAACATAGGAATCAAATGACATTAAGCTGAACTTTCTCTCATTATTGAATCTTTAATAAATTGAAAACAGTTTATGTGGCCACTTTCCATCACATAGTTTTATTGTGGGAAGCTGGAAAACAAGGACTATTCATGTTTTCAGAAAGAAACAGATTTCCTGACACTGCATTAAAAATGTAAGGTAAAGAATCAGTAAATTAGAGAGTGAAATTAAACGCTTTATTAAGGCTGCTGTAAAACTTGTTAGAATCTCAAATAAATATTAATTGAAATGTGCGAATTTTACAGCAACCAATGTCTGTTTTATACGCACATGAGCAGGCGGATTTCAATGAACAAAAATGATATAATGGGCATCAAAAATGGGTACCGTCCTTGGCGACAAGGACATACAACAACCAATGTACTTTTCGCGAAAATTCAACAAGTAATCACTGATTTAGACACATAGCAAATTTAATAGGCATCATTTTGGGGGTAGTTCACAATGTTTTAAAGAGACATTCAACAATAATTAAAAAAAGCTTAATACTCAAGGGTCACCCTATGTTTTGAAAAATGAGTGTAAGAATATCTAAACAATTATTGTAAAAAATCAAAAATTGTACTTATCCACATTTGTCTGAAATTCAAACAGATAATGAAACTTGAATCCATTGCTTTAAACCCTCAAAACAAATCTACAATACGATGCACTTGACAAAACAGCAAAGGCCTGAGAGATGAGCAAGGGTTGCAAGAGCACAAAACAGTTTTATATTTATGTATTCTTATATGCAATTTTCTCAAATATTAGTGGTCTTGTTATTCAAATTCTTATTCGGGGAGGCAGCTCAATTTCTAAAGGAGTCTAGAAAGCATTTTTTGCACACAAGAAATCGTAAGATATAAAATTATGAGAGGAAGGAACCAGAATCAGAAATCCACCACATTAAATTTCTACATGACATACGTCACACCAACAAAATTTGCCTTATCTTTCAACCTTTGACTTAATTGTTTTATTTCCAAAACTTGATAAAACACCTTTCAGAAAGGAAAAAAAAAACAAGTATAGGAAATCATAGGATCTGCCATATTCCAGTGTACGAAGGGCCATACTAAAAAAATGTGTTCTAAAAAATAATTAGAAATTTAATAAAAACGTTACAGACATGTGTTCTTATTAGAGATATAAGAGAATATTTAAGCGAAATCGTTAAGACTCAATCATTGAAAAGCGTTTTTTTTTCCGAGCACCGATAACATTATTTATTGAACAGCCCTCGTATCTATATGATGAGTCGAAGATGACAAAAATAAATCTTCATTTTCTTCTCATGTCTCATGCTACATATTAATACAAAAATAGGTCTAATCAAACGGGACACAATTGGTACCCACGGGAATTCCAACAAATTGTTTTAAGATTTTATCCTAGTATCCAAAACCAAGTAGATATTGCCAACCAGAAACTCAAGCATCTTTTTATATAAAACATAAGGGATCTAACTGGGATTTTATTTTACATGTTTTTTACATGTTAGGTACATTGACTTCAGTGTACATGCCAAGTTAGAGAAAAAATTACCGTCCAGGTATTGACC